AGTGCGAAATTATGGTAGGAGGGATAAGTAACCCAAAGTCCACAAATCCCAAGGTCAAAAACTGCCATCTGGTAATTTGATGTCTCCACACATACTAATCATTTTCCACTACAGCTATAGCCACAGATGCCCAAGAAAGTTGCTCAAGAGCCCACTACTTTCAGAGGAATTTTCTGGGAGGCAAGAAGCCTTCAGTCTTAGCAGGGAAGGCAACAAATGATTGAAAAGGCCCAATATGATTGCAGAGCTTTGTTTTCTGTCCATAGATAGATACAGAGAACTTTACGGCATCCGTTTAGCAGTGAAACTCTCTGCCCCGGAGTGTGGTGGAGGCTCCTTCTTTGGAAGCTTTTAACAGAGGCTAGATGACCATCTGTCAGGGGTGATTTGAATGCAATATTCCTGCTTCTTGGCAGGGGGTTGGACTGGATGGCCCATGAGGTCTCTTCCAACTCTCTGATTCTATCCACAGAAGTGAGACAATGGCAGAGATCTTACATGGTGGTGTTCTGCATGCATGGCTCCCAACATAAGAGAACTCACCATGAGAGACACCTCCCACCCATAGGACTATTTTATGATTCAGCGAGAGTGGCAGGTCTGGCTGTAAGTATATAGCCAAAGGATCCATTAAGGTCCTTGTGAGGTCATTGTAAATGAACATGATCAGACACTTCTCCAATTCCCTCCACCAGGCTTTGGTTGTGGACCAATGGAGGGAATAGCAACCTCAACGATAATAAAAAAAGTATATACTCAAACTTAAGGTGGAAATATCTGTATATGTCACCAACAGGATCAGCCACTGGGTGGCCTTGTGATTCAGTTAATATGAAGTGCTTTCCACACATTCTGGTGGGATGGTTTTAACCGCCATTGTGAAATGGCTGCATACTTTCATTCTTTGGCACCATCAATCTTAGCTCCTTAAATATTACTGCCAGTCACTGCTCTACATCAGTAATTTGATGCTCACAACCGATTGCCTAGTCACACTCGGATCCAAACAAAAACTCTGATCAACACAGATCTTGGCTAGGAGAAAAGTGGCATCAGAAAAAGTGCCAAAAGGGTTTTTTTTTTGGGGGGGGGGGGTACTCTATTTACTCAAGTCTAATGCTCATTTTCATTGGCTAAATCACCTTCCCAAAATTTGGGTGTGCAATGTAGTAATATTATTACTGAGCCAAAGCAAAAGGGGAAGCTACTTCGGGAGCTGCACCTGGAGCTCCTATTTGAGGGAAATCATCTCCAATTTAATTGCCATGGCTCAATGCTATGCAATGCTGGAATATGTAGTTTGGAGAGGCATTGGCATTCTTTGACAGTTCCCATGATCCCAAACTACAACATCCATGACCCACAGCAACGAGCCAGGGCAGTGACAGTGGATTTATTCTACAGCATACATGCAGCCCAAGGTTTTCTTTTCTATTGCCGAAAGGTTTGATGTTCTATCACTTGTTTTTAAAATAGGAATTTTAAGCATGCAGCCACTGTAATGATCATTTTTTGGCAAATAAAGAGTGCACTTTTTGCCACTGCGCATTACATTTGCCAGCAAATACTTTTTTTTGTTTCAGTGTTTTGAAAATAGAGGTGCGCATTAGATTTGATGGCACATTAGACTTGAGTAAATTTGGTTATGCTATAACTTTCAGTAACGATACGCTGCCAGTTCATGGACCACAAGTCTCTCCTTGGAAAAAAGCTACTCTAATTTGGTAACTCAATCTGGAACAATCACACAACCTTGATGTGCTAACTCCCACCTTTTTTCCATTTTTGCCATAGGAATAACTATGCTATTTTTCACCTGAATTTTACTCTGTCAAAGGTATTCGAGAGAGTGCAGAACTACAGTTTGAAGAGTCATTGAAGGGTGCTAGACTGAATTTCATTGGATACAAACCAGCCTTCACTATACAACCTCCCATTTACATTTATGTAAATCAGCTACGATTTACATAAATGTCCATATACATTAAACTCAGCACAGCTATTGCATCTATGTGACAAATATGCCCTAACTTCATCATCTAGCAAATTTCAGCAAGTCAGAGGGGGCCATTTAATATGTGGCAAATTATTTTAACAACATGGGCATCCTCTGAAGATGCCAGCCACAGATGCAGATGAAATGTCAGGAGAAAATGCTGCTAAAACATGGCCATACAGCCTGGAAACCACACAACACCCCAATATGGCCATAGTGTATAGGGAAACAAATTCCTGTGCAGAAAAAAACCAGAACAGTTGAGAATACATGTCCACATTTTCATCAGATATGGAAAAAACTCGAGATACCCTTATTCTGCTAAATCCCACCCAGATGCTGATGGAATGTACTTGATCTCTGCCAACTTTCTTCTGCTGCATTAGTAGGCCTCAGATAACAATACAGCCTATCAGCGGCTTGGAAGGAAGGAGGCACAGCAAGGAAAAAGGATAGTCATCACACTCATGGACTCCTCTGAGTACAGCAGAAGACTGGGAGGGCAACAGCTATTTTTCCCCCAACACTGCCTATTTCAGATAGATGGTGTCCAACAACCACATGACACACTGGCAACCAACTGGTCAACAGAGGTATACTGCAGCACAGTCAAAATGTTGTGTTGTACATATTGAGATACCTCTTTTTGCAAGGATGGAAAATGTACACATGCTAGGGCAACCAGAGGTAATGCCAGACATGTCAACAACAGGACAGCAATCTGTAAATCCCGTTTTATTTCGAAGATGCTGAGTAAGTTATGTCCAACACAACGGTACAAGAAACTACAGTGAAACCTACACTAGGAATTAATGTAGCTGAACAAACAGTGGGAATCTACCATTTTGATAGATGCCACTCCCTATAAAGGAAGCAGAAAATACCTTCTAAAGTGTGATGGAGCCAAAACACCACAGACATGCAAATTTAGCATCAGCCAAGTACAATGTAGACTACTGTCCCTACACTGCAAAATATGTACACAAGCTAAGAATGTAACACTATATCTTAGACTCTATAACACTGAAATACAGTGAATATGGTTGAGAGTAGGGCAGCTCTGTATTTAACATATTGACACCTGATTTCTTCAAAATCTAATTAATTAGAGCAATGGGACAGCTCTGACTCTCAGCTGGAAACACATTAGTGGATCAGTCAATTCTCGCGCTCCATATTTAAGATTGTTGTATGATTTAGGACAAGCCACAAATCTAGCCATAATTTACTTCCTATTCTGCTAAATGTTACGATATGTGCCTACTCCCTGAGAGCCATTCCAAAAACAACACTTAGACATTACCTTACAACTCGCACAAAACATAAACACCTTTAAAAGCCCCTGAAGGCTGCATAACACCTCTAAGCTGTGTGGCTTCATGAACCATCCCATTCTTAATTCCAAAGATGCCTTCTTATTAAACTGTGTTTTCCAATTATGGGCCTTACCCTTCTTGCAGGCATAAGGCATTGTAAAAAAAATAAGAAGAAAAAGGTTTGAGGATGTGATCCACAGAATTCAGAACCATTTTCTGAATGCAGATCTCACCCAAAGCAGCCAAGGTTATTAGTGAATTACTGACCACTACTTCAATCCGGGTTATATCAATGTGTGAACAGAGTGATTCATACAAAAAGCAAAATTACTATTAAGTGCTTGTGATTCTGGCTCTAAACAACCCTGCACCAGACCCCCAGGAACACGATTCTTTATGGTATATCATTAAGGAAGTATTAGTGCTTTTTGTGGCTCCTAAAACCATTGTGTTTGGCACACGGACTGGCACTTTTACATACTGTAAACATAGGCAAACAGGAAAGGCTGAAGTTAAGGATACAAAATTGGCAGAAATCTGACAAAACAGACGGTTTAGCAACAACTCTTTCTTAATATGCTGACAGCAACTGCTGTTTGCCAAGAGAATTAGGATTACTTTAACAGCTCTGCTGTCTCCTTAAGTACTTTGAAAGGGGGCATTTTAACAACATAATTCATTTTCATCTTCTTTGGACATCAGTGAGAAGACATCTCTCAGGGGTGCTTTGAATGCCATTTTCCTGATTCTTGGCAGGGGGTTGGGCTGGAAGACCAACAATGTCTATGAGTCTATGATCTAAGGCAGTGGTTCCCAACCTTTGGGCCTCCAGGTGTTTTGGGCTTCAACTCCCAGAAATCCCAGCCAGTTTACCAGCTGTTAGGAATTGTGGGAGCTGAAGTCCAGAACATCTGGAGGCCCAGAGGTTGATCCAAGGCAGTGGTTCTCAACCTGGGGTCCCCAGGTGTTTTTGGCCTTCAACTCCCAGAAATCCTAACAGCTGTCTGGGATTTCTGGGAGTTGTAGGCCAACAACATCTGGGGACCCCAGGTTGAGAACCACTGATCTAAGGAATGGAACTTCTATCCAGCCCTCAATGCTGAAGTCACTTAATGGTTGGCATCGTGTTGATTAGTTGCAACTTGAGTAGACTCATTCAATCAACTGTTGAAAGGTGAGTCAACATATAGCTAAATTTAATGGATCCAGTGGGGGGGGGGGGTTTCAGGTCCAAAATAAAAGAATTTAGGGCAACGTGTACTGTTAAGAACAAAAAGGGGCAGTTCTGTGATTTTAGAAATCTGTTTTTAGCTAGCCATAACCTTTCCCATATTGTGTGAACAGGACTTCTCTTATGAGTTATTGTTAGATAACTTGATTTTACGTCAAAATTTAAGACAGCAAGAACTCATGATGGTTGTTAGAGCTTCCAAAAACAAAACAAAACAAAAAAAAACAGAAATAAATGGATCAGGGTCTAAAACTGGAATCCTCTTGACAGTTACAAAAAAGGCAACTCTGTGTTGCTGTGGAATGTCTGGGCAACCCAAACAAATATCTTGGCAGTATCAGAATAAAATTTCAGTACTTCCTGTAGAGGTTGGCTGGTGTACCTGAACTGGTTTCAGGAGCCAATTCTGAATATTGATGTGGCACATGCTACAGTCCACACACAGATTGCACAGTGGGAGAAGTGTACATTTCAATGGAATACTCCTATTTTTACAATTCTCGGCGTGTGCAAATAGGTACTCCAAGAAAAGAGGTGTTCTACCTAAAACACATTAAATGTCTGCCTATACAAGTGTATTTTAATACATGTGAGAGGAGAAAACAAACTATGGTCCACATGCATTTGGAGTGGTACAGTCCACAAGAGGAACAGAAGTCCTTGCTAGAACTCTGAAGTGGTTTCAATACTCTTCACCTCACACCAAACAGGCCAATGATATTACAGTAGGCCTGAAAACATCACACTGACATCTACCCGACCCATCTCGAAAATCCATGAATGATTGGCACAGCCATGCAGCCACAAATACGTGCGCCTTCTGATTTGCATGCTGAGCCAAATCATAGAAAGGCTGTTAGAAGGAAGCTCAAAATCCGACACCAACGTTTTCAGTTCTTATCTCTGAAGGGTGCATCTGATGACCTATTTACGTCTGCGGTGTCTGTCTGGTGCCCCTGGCTGCCAATGGGATTTCCAGGAAGCATCGGCTCAGAAGGAACGACTTCGTATCCCAATAAATAGGTCACACCGCAAGTAAGGCGCTAGGTGTCGCAAGGAGTCATCAGGACTTTTTTAAACAGACACAGAAACAGATCAAGCAATAATTCAAACACCTTCTGTTATAAAACCTACAAACAGCTCTTCAACTTCACACTTTGTATCTACAGTAAATTCACCAAAAAGGAAAAAGAAAAAGAAAAAAGGAGACGACACATTTTAAAACAACGATCTAGTTGATCCACTGTGGAACTCAGGGGAGATATCTCAGATTAAATGCAGAGAGCTATATAAATGCAGTTTCTTTTAAAAAATGCAAACATTATTTCTTTACTTACAGACAAAATGTTACATGATTGGCTGCTATGTGTATATTCAGTTATGTACAAAAAGGTACAGAATTAGGATTGGGGCACAAGCAGAAATCCTTCCAGGACAACACAGGCAAACCAACTGTTAAGATGGACTCGTTTCTTTTAGCTTCGGTCACCACGAATACATGTGCTGCCCTCCGCTTTCCTTTTCTTTGAAGAAAGACGCTACTGATTTCTCCCACCCACCACTTCTTCACTTGATTTTTTTTAAAACTTCATGTACAGAAAGCCTATTTATGCAATAATCAGTGAGTAGAAAAACTTCACCTGTAAATACAAGGTAGAAATATTATTTCACAGCAATAGGCTGCAGCATTGATCTCTCCAGGTCTCAGTGGAGAAGGTGTGCGTGTCTATCCGGATGTCTTTCAGCTGCGAGATTAATTCCAGATTCTGAGAAAACTGTCCCAAGACCCTGTAGCTACTGCCATGCCATCATCAGTAACTCCTAAGCAGCTGACTCGGTTGTCATGGCCAGCAAGGACACCTGAGGGACAAGAAGACAACGCTGAAACACTCGTCGTTCAGGAACTGACAACTCAAACAAGTTTCTAAGTTTGATCAAAGGCCTGCACTAAATATATAATGCCAAAGGTTGCACAAAGGAAGATCCATAACTGAGGGAACACCATCCAGAAAGGGCTGTCAAAGACTTTCATGGCCGGAATCACTGGGTTGCTATTTTCCGGACTGTATGGCTATGCCCCAGAAGCATATTATTTGAGAACACAGAAATGTTGGATCACGCTAACAACCACAATGTCAGATTAAACAGAAAAGCCACTGAAATCCACAAGCATGTGGACAATTTCAACAGAAAGGAAGAAACCATGAAAATGATCAAAATCTGGCTACCGGTATTTTAAAAAACCCTCTAAAACCAGGACAGGAAATAAAGAGCAACATTCAAAAAGCAGTGGGAATTCCAGCCATGAATCAATCAGGTCCAGCTAATACCTCCCAACAAAGGATTCCCCCAGGCAGCAACCAGCTAGCCTTTGAAGCTGCAAGGCCATTTAATGCTAAACAAAGGGGTCATTTACAACATTTACACTTGCTTCAAGCAGACAAGAATTCTTTCTTCCACCATGGACATTCCACAGATACACAAACCTCACTCGCCTAGTTTCCAACAGACCCCTCAACCTCTGAGGATGCCTGCCATAGATGTGGGTGAAATGTCAGGAAAGAATGCTTCGGGAACATGGCCATACAGCCCAGAAAACTTACAGCAACCCATCCAGAAACTTTTAATCCCTTACGCTCTCCAATCTAAGCACACCCTAACAATAATATAAATATATATAAACAGAATTGGATGGATAGATATAGGCTCATATTCAAAATGGTGATCCATGGATCAATGCCAGTCTGTGAATCTCTGTGGTTGTCAGTACACAAAAGTTTGCAGGAAAGTAACAAAAGTAGACTCTGCTATTCCATGGTGTAGTCTTGTGTGAAGTGGCCACAGCTTCAATCTATACCACCTCTAGGAGTGAAATGTGACAACTAAGGAGAGTCTTAAATCGTTTGGTATCAAGGTAACCAGGCACCATTGGCAAATGCTTCTTTACTTCAATGGACCTTAGGCTTGACCAAAAAGGGTCCTCTTACTCAAATGTTTCACTCAGCTTGCACAAAAATACTGCACCCAAATCAACGGAAGTACTCTATATACTTTAAGTTTAATATTATGCTTCAATCAACAGATATAAGAAGGTTAACACTTATTACTACACTTCTACCAGATGGATATTGTTCACTAAAAAAATTAAGCTTTAGAATTCCAGTATGCAGGAAAATATAAAACTATGAGAAAGTTTAAAGTTATGATTCTAACAGCAGGTAAGTCAAAGCTGACCTATCACCAAAGCGAACAGGTTGTCCTTCTGGTTGTTTTTTTCTTTTCCTGCCAACATGTGGGTGAAGGCAAGAAAGCTGTGTGTATATGTGAATGAAATGTGCATGAAGGTGCTGAGCCAGCACTGTTTGTTGTATCTTCACAACCGCCAAAATATGCATGCTTTAATTTCTAATTTTCTCAGGTAAGTGGGTTCAAGAAAAACAATTGGGGCTGTGAATAGCATAACCTGCGAACAAAGTTGTAGCCCAAGGTTTAGTCTTGCAGCAAAATGGATCTGACTGTTGTGTTAAACATGTTTTAAACTTTAGACCTGCTTTTTTCGTTCCAAAGATTTTGGTTTGTGCTGATTTCCAGACTACTAACGCCTCTGGCAAACTAGTGTTAAGACTAGTTCAGAAAGACTGACACTGCTATAGTTCCAGCAGTTTTTTACTACACAGAAAAAACAATTTTTCCCCCAAGAGAAAACAGGATGCATTTCATTAGCCTGCTTAATTCAAGGGGAAAGGCATGTCCTTCAGCAAAGAGTCTGAATTTCCACAAAAGACAGCATTCCGTGGTTGGAGAATTAGAATACTACTGCTTCTAATAAAGTGTCTATGTTGTTTCTATATTTTCTGTATCCTTTTATTTCACACTCATATACATATTATGCTTGTAAGCTATCTGCATGTCATCCTTTATGACCTTTATTTCCCGCCACTTTATTCCTATCTACAATGGCAGTTTAAATTATTAAATTATTTTATTTAATTTTATTAAATTTATATTTTATTATTATTATTAAATTATTATTATTATTAAAATTATTAATTATCTAAAAAAGTGTCTATGTTGTATCTACCTTTCTTACCTTACCTATATTTTCTGTATCCTTTTATTTCACACTCACATACATATTATGCTTGTAAACTATCTGCATGTCATTCCTTTATGACTTTATTTCCCGCTACCTCATTCCTATCTACAATGGCAGTTTAAATTATTAAATTATTTTATTTTATTAAATTTATATTTTATTATTATTATTATTAAATTATTATTATTATTAAAATTATTAATAAAATTTATTAAATTATTAAATTAAATCAATTTACACGTGGTAATCCAGACAGACCAGGATAGTAGGGAGAACTAAACAGATAACAAAACTGCATCTGCAGCTCCCAATATTGACTCCAGGGTGATGCAGCGTCTCCTCAGAGTCAACCCTGGATGGAAGAACTGCTGAAACAAAAGGGCACATCAACTCACCTGCGCGTTCTCCCTTGAGAGTGTCCCAAACATTGCAATTGAAATCATCATAACCTGCCAACAAAAGGCGGCCGCTCTTTGAGAAAGCGACGGAAGTAATTCCGCAGATGATGTTGTCATGAGAGTACATCATCAGCTCCTGGTCGGCCCGCAGATCAAAGAGTCGGCAGGTGGCATCATCAGAGCCAGTGGCAAAGGCATGGCCGTTAGGGAAGAACTGCAAAAGGAAACAAGACAGAAGTCACACTCAAAAGAGAGGAGACCAAGAAGTGTTTCATTTATGTACTTTAAATATACCAGTTCTTTGGAAATCTGATTTTCTCTACTAACTAGGGCCACAATGGATAACAGGAAATGAGGGGACTTTCTTTTTAAGATTCTGGATTTTAAGTTCTAATAGCTTTATATAATATGTATCTCAAGGAGCTCCTGGTGGTGTAGCAGGTTAAATCGCTAAAGCTGCTTAACTTCCTGACCAAAAGGCTGGCGGTTTGAATCCAGGGAGCAGGGTGAGCTCCCACTGTTAGCCCCAGCTTCTGCCAAACTAGCAGTTTGAAACCATGCAATCAATAGGTACTGCTCCAGCGGGAAGGTAACAGCGCTCCATGCCATCATGCTGGCCACATGACCTTGGAGGTATCTATGGACAATGTCGGCTCTTTGACTTAGAAATGGAGGTGAGCACCACCCACCAGAGTCAGACACGGCTAGGCTTAATGTCAAGAGGAAACCTTTACCTTTTAATAATAATAATAATAATAATAATAATAATAATAATAATATAAAAAAACTTTATTTATACCCCGCCACCATCTCCCCAAGGGGATTCGAAGCAGCTTACATGAGGCCAAACCCGACAACACATCAATTAAAAAAAACAACAATTTTACCTTTTAATAGTATATCTACCTCAAAACCTAAACTTAAATAAAACCTCATTTTTCCTACCAATATTGCAGTAAGACAAGAAGAAACTGAGAAAAACTGAGGGAAGACGTAGCATCTAGCTGTTTGGCTGAAAGGACTGTTGTTGAAAAACAAGTTCCACAAATTTGCAAGATGTTTGCACAGACATACAGTAAGCCAGAGACCATGAAGAACCTGCTTTCAAATCCATTTTTAAATAGATTATGAAACAACACTCTTCTACTCAGCACGTGTTTTCTTCTATTATTTAATGCTTGAGGGCTCATGTGCTCATAACCACTCCACCAATACATAGCCATGAGAAAATAAGAACGGCCATTTAAATTCATAATCTCCCCTCTTCTTGTAGTTATGAACATAGCTAGACACTTACACACACTGCGTTGATGTCAGAGACATGCCCTGTGAAAGATTGCCTGCACATCCCGTCTCGAATATCCCAGAGCTTGGATGACGCATCGCATGCGCCTGAAACAAAAGTACTCATGTCTGGACTTAGAGAAAGACTCATTACATCTCCAGTATGCCCAGTGAAAGTAGTAGTCTGCTGCCCGGTCTCAATATCCCACAACGCACTGCAAACGAAAGAAAAATATTGGAATACAGCAGATTAAATATCCAACTTATCCAACTATAGCAATATTGAAGGAAGAAAAAAGAAACACCCCATAACTCACCAGGTGGTATCTCCTGAGCTTGTGACTATTTGGTTGTCGTCTAGAAACCGGCAACAGGACAGATACCCTAGAAAAACAAATCAGAAAACTTGTAAAAAAATATTTAGGCCAGGATTTAAAATGCTCTCATACCAAACCAAATATATGTAGTCTGGACACATCATGGGTCTAAAAGATTTTAACTGCCAGCAATTTTTTAGTTTGTTGTTTTTAAAAAAATTCAGAAGAAAGCACACCAGTTGAGATCTTCACCAAAAGACCAACCCATCTCTCCAAAGTGGACATGTGATGGTTGAATTTTGAGACACTGCCAGTTTTTGCTCAAGTAATATATTTCCTGGAAAGCGAGATGCCTACAAGGCACGAGGAAATAATATTCTGTACGGCTATGGTCCAACAACCTAGGAGCCAGAAGCCATTGTTATAGCAACTCTCCAGATTACCGATGTCTTCTCTCCTTTTAGAACAGAGCATATTGAGTGGAAAAGAGAGAAAGAAGGTCAAATCGCCCAATGATGGAACTGGGAAATACTTGATAATTCACTTTTTTTCAACCCTAGGGATAGATTAGAGAGGAAATGAGTGATTGGTTTCATGCACTCTAAAGAAGTTAGGATCCAGGAATTTGATAACTCCTCCTAATCAAGCCTGCCGGGATGTCACATGAGCCGAATTATCGGCTTCAGCTTCCAAAAACCCTATTTCCATCCCAGTTTTTTGCTCAATCAAACACAGATAAGACAGATCACAATGGGGAAAAGGAAACCACGAGGAAAAAGTAACAGCCAGTGTACTGAACAGAAAGAGGAGAATTAGACATGTACGGAGAAGATCAGAAATGGCCAAGAAGTAGATTGAAACAATATTCAGCTTCTTCTTTTTTTTGTCATGTCAGGAGCGACTTGAGAGACTGCAAGTCGCGTCTGGTGTGTGAGAATTGGCCGTCTGCAAGGACATTGCCCAGGGGACGCCCACATGATTTGATGTTTTTATTATACTTCTGGGAGGCTTCTCTCATGTCCCCACATGAGGAGCTGGAGCTGATAGAGGGAGCTCATCCGCCTCTCCCCGGATTTGAACCTGCGACCTGTTGGGTCTTCAGTCCTGCCGGCACAGGGGTTTAACCCACTGCGCCACTGGGGGCTCCAATATTCAGCTAATAGCCTCACAAAGGGATTTCTGTATTATTTATTTATGTCATTTTTATCCCGCCTATTTCAGCCCAAAGGCGATTCAGGATGGCGTACAGACCAGCAACAATTAGATGCCGTATATATATACATAAATATCTTAGTTAAAAGCAATTAAATCACATCATAAATACATATAAAAACAATAGAAGCAATAAAAACTATTAAAAAATATAAAAAAACAATGTCTTCCGGTTCAATTCCTCAAAGGGACGTCTGTGAATGCCTCCTTATTCATGGGCTAAATCAGATCCCTACAATAACTGTTTCATTTTTTTATTATAGCAAGATATCATCCAGAAACAAGATTTAGGCAAATTCAATATCCACTTTTATCCATAGAGATTGAAAAACAATGCAGTGGTTAAATCTATTATGGGCCATCTGGCAAAAGCTCCATTGAGCAGTTGTATTTACCTAACTTTAAAAGTCACCTGAATGCAGATGGGCTAACTCAAGTGGCTGCTTGGCAAATTTTGTTGTGAGAAGCATTAGTGGAAAAGTGCAAATGCAGCCATCATGCTCCTTGGACAAGAAAGATCCAAAGCTTCCTAAATCTTTCATACTATCTGATGTGGGAGATTGACATTTTTTCCTTCTAAAAAAGGAGGAATTCTGCCCATTAGTTGCAGCTGTTTCTTTTGTTTCTTGGAATCTCTCCGCGGAGTGGCAGCCAATGGCCACCAGTCCGCAAACCACTACTCTGAGCAACACTGTTCTAAGCCATAAATGTGCAAGCCTTTACCTAACTAGCACTGTCATCACACCAGAGAAAAAAAATCCACTTCAATCCGGTTTCTGCCTCCTGCAGAATTCTGGGGTTTGTAGTTTAGGAAGGAGCCTTTAACAGCCTCATTAAACTACAAACCCCAGAATTCGACAGGAAGCAGAAACTTGATTTTAAGTGGATTTTTTCTCTAGTGTGATGGAGTAGTTAATAACATTGCAACTCTTACTTTCTTCCACTAAGAAGTACTTTAATATAGAATCAAAGAGTTGGAAGAGACCTCAATGGCCATCCAGTCCAACCCCCTGCCAAGAAGCAGGAATATTGCATTCAAATCACCCCTGACAGATGGCCATCCAGCCTCTGTTAAAAGCTTCCAAAGAAGGAGCCTCCACCACACTGGGCAGAGAGTTCCACTGCTGAATGGCTCTCACAGTCAGGAAGTTCTTCCTCATGTTCAGAGGGAATCTCCTCTCCTTGTAGTTTGAAGCCATTGTTCTGTGTCCTAGTCTCCAAGGAAGCAGAAAACAAGCTTGCTCCCTCCTCCCTGTGGCTTCCTCTCACATATTTATAAATGGCTATCATATCTCCTCTCAGCCTTCTCTTCTTCAGGCTAAACATGCCCAGCTCCTTAAGCCACTCCTCATAGGGCTTGTTCTCCAGACTTTCTGACAAATACTGCTTTGTATTTGACCTGTGGCAGCAAACCAAAAGAAAGTGTGAATCCTTTGCCAAGGTTTGGTTACTTCTCTATGTTACAGAGAAGCCACCATCTTTATCTTGCACTTGAAGATGAAAAATAACCTGCATACAATTTGGTGCACTTGCCTCCACAGCAAACCCCAAAGACCTCATCAGCAAAAACGCTTAAGGCCACAAATTCAACTCCATTTTAAAAACCTTTGGGCTTCTTGTTTCCTAAAGTAGCCCACAATGCTACTACCAATAGTCAAGCACAAATGTCACTAATCTGCTTTTTTTGGAAGAGAATTCCACCTTGGTAGAACTCTTGTATTGCTTCACAGAATAACTGGCATGAGGGAGTTTGATTCTGTGTCAGCTTTCTCCACAGCAAACCTTGAATTCGCAGAACAAACAGTTGATAGAATAGGATGCCTCAGCACCAAATTCCTTGAGCAAAACAACATATTTCAATAGCAACTCTGGGGTTTTGTCCAAAGAAATGAAGATTTAAAGAACTTGCAAAGTCACTTTCCCCACGGGTGCCATGGTGATAAAAATGGATGGAAGGAGAAGAACAGAAAATACAGAATGGGGAGGGGGTAAAAAAGAAGAAAGAGTCGAAAGAAAGAAGGAATACAAAGGAGGCTAAGGTAATACTGAATTGAAGCAGAACTGAACAAAGAAAATCTGAGTAGGAAGGCTAGAGTTCTTCAGGTTAAAGTAGACTTTAAAGCCATGTGAGACACACATATAGACTTGTTCAATTCAGACAACAATCCAGAATTAATTCCTTTCTGCAGTCTGAGAATCAAATGTAAAGGCAAAGGCTAGATATTTAGCTACTGAACACAGAAACTGTTCCAATAATTTTGCCTCAAGTCAACATTTTTTGCATCACCTGACACCTCCCCCCCCCCCCCCCGAACTCTTTTTTTAATAAACATCTCAGCAAGGCACCATTCCATGAGAACCAAATGACAAAACAAAGAGCAGATGGCAGCTGACCAGTATGGCCGGGTAGCTCTCTGCTCACTCGCACGTTGCCCTCTCTTGTCTTCAGGTTGTAGATGGAGCAGATGTTGTCCAATCCACCACAGGCGACGTAATTGCCAGATGGCGCATATGCACAGGTCATTACCCAGGAAGACCTCAAAGGAATGGCATGCATCTTGAAGAGGGAGGGGAAAAAACAGAAGACATGTCAAGAGAGCAGACATATCCTAAACACTGTGGATAGACAGACATAATTATCTGAGGCTGAGCCCTACACTGAGAAATGTAATTCACAGATCTTTTCCCCTAAATTCTAGATTTCCAAGTTTTCCTGAATAATGTCAGAACACAACCAAAACTCTGCAGCCTACTTTTAAAGCAGCCAATATTACACATTGCCTAAGACGTAATGTCATCATTTTGCTCCATGCCAAACTCTTTTGCATCTCTTTCAACTTCCTGATAACTCTTCAGATTCATAGCTCAGTAAAGCATTGTTTAGATCTCCCTTTCTCTGTAGGCATCTCTAGCATGTTCACAAGAGTTCACACACTTTTGCTGACCCTACTGACTAGTTAAAATCTCTCAAGTCCAAGATGCCATTCTTCCAAGGGATAAGGTGGATGAAACACAGCTGAGGTGGAAGTGGAGCAAAATAAGCCTGGTTTCTCTTCTAGCTAAAAATAGGGAACACTGTGATAAAATTTGCTCTGTCTCTGAATCTCACAGGAACTACGAACTCTTGGACATAAAAAAATTCCAGCACACCTCAGCTGAACAACCTATAACTCTGTTATTCAGGTTCAGTCTCATCTCATTTGCAAGAACAAGACTGCCCTCTCTCTCATGGCATGGAGTGAAAGGTTAGGAAAGAGTGTAACTTTGTGTGTTTATGACCCTAAATGACACCAAACAGTTCTGTAATGAACCAAAGTCTCCATAATACTGACCACCAGGGGGGGAAAAAACCTTCAAACAAGCTGCCCTGAAAAAGAAGCTTCTTGTCTATAAGGTACATCTAAGGATTGTAATGCATGCTATTCTTCAAAAACGTTCCACTTTCCCAGACTCCAAGCATCAGATTTGTTTTATCTGTAAAGAAAGCCCATTGATCTGATTTCCATAACCCACATCGAACAATCCCAACCCTTCAGAAAGATGTTGAGACTCATCAGTCTGTTTTCCCCAAGCAGGTGAGCCACATTATTAAGAGCGATGAGATGGAATAGTCAATGGGATGCTGAAATAAATAACCTATTTTTCCAAACAAAGATAAGGAAATGAAAGCAAGATAAAGAACTGAATTGGAGCTAGAAAAGAAAAACACTCAAGCAAAAGAGTTGATTAAGAAAAAAATGGAAAAGTAGTGCTTCAGGTAGAGAACAAAAATTAAAAGTAGTAGTGGAAACAAAAAAGCAAAGGCCACTAGCAAGAGGCAAAGAAAAATGCCAAAAAGGGTATATATATTTTTGAAAAAACTCTACCTTGTTTGTTGTATAACTATCCCAAATAATTAATTTTCCATCTTGGGAAGCACTCACTAGTAGCCTAGAGATAACCACAGAAAACAAAACATTCACATACACAGAACACATGTTAAAAAGTTAACTTTGTGTCTCTTCGTTCCTGATTTCAGAACTGACAGCCATCAAACACAAGTTATTCACAAAGCTCCTCCTTTTGTTTCTTCCTCTTTCAAGCATGTTACTTCAGATATTTAGGGCACATCATATGAAACCAACCATCCTTTTCTCTCAACAAATCCTAGCAAAATGAGCAACCATTTAACAAGGAGGACAAGATAAAGGCCTACATATAGTAGTGCTTCTGAGAGGGGCCTGACTACACAGTATCAGGGTGGTAGGGGCATCTTCTTCACAATAATGGTATGCTTTTGCCTCCATACATCGTAGCAGATGCTGTTGAGTTACATGGGAAAAAAGAGAAGCAGTGCTCATCAAGACAACTTGCTGCTGGGAGGAAACATATCTCACTATAATGATGACACTTTCTTGGCCAGAGAGGAAGGGTGCAGATTCAATGCACCCAGATCTTTATGCTGATTATAGGCTGTTTACTTTTGATTTATTTAATTCCATGGAAACCACTGAGCCAACTTCCTCTACAGAACCCTTGGTGTAATGCTTCAGGCGAGGTAGGAATCATGCAATTCTCAAGGTACCGCTAGATTACCACTCGCACCATTCTCTCATAATAGATCTGCTGGCTAAGGCTAGGGGCACTTGCAACCCAACATCATCTGGAGGGCAGGCACATGATTCATATTTTTCAGCTAGGAGTAGAGGGAAATCTTGGGATATCGGGTTCAAATTTTCTATTCACCTTCTAAAAATGGGATGGCTCTATTCCCCTAAGTCAAACTGGAAGAAAGAGCTGCACATTTCCAAAAAAATGTTTAATATTTCATTAATTAAAAGACATAACGATTTATAGAAGAAAAGTACCTATATATGCATTTTCTTGCAGCAAAAAGAACATTTCAGCACTTAAAACATATTTGATTACAGAGCAAAACCAATATATACTTATTAATGAGTAAACACTACATAGAAATAGAGTTATTTACACATCAATTAGTATAAGTCTAGTATTTCAAAAGGTGCATCTACATTGGCAAAAACTCACCAAATTCTTTGGAGTTTTAGCTGTTTCCTTCAAGATTTAGAGTATTTTTTTACACATATGTGATATTTAACTTTCATATTGTTCATTTGCTTTTTCTCAGGATGAGAAATGTTGGCAATTAGAGATTTTCTGCCCTGGGAATTTCCATGGGTCACACATACTATCCCCCCCCCTCCCCCAATTGCTTCAAGATGTAAATGGATGGACGTTTGTCTTTGGTTTTGAAAAACGGGTTTTGTAAAAAGTTAAAACAATGCCAGAATACTGGGGGAGTTTGTGTGAAAATTTGACATATCCTGGAAGTATTTCAACTCACTTATTTGTGCAAGAAAAAAAAGGTAGTCCAGGAAAGTCTGCAACTGCATTCATCCCAGGACTCCATTTTTCCCACCCTTTTTTAATGTCACGTATTTCTATATCTCTACCCAGGTTTCCCACACAGTGTTCATATAAACTTATAAGAAAAGTGTATTCAGATACCTTCCCCAGCCATGAGACTAACCCCCACTTTATGTGAACTAATTGTACAAACCTTGAATCAGTTCCCCAATGCATGGCATAAATTTTAGCTAAATGGCCTCTCAGAGTACGTCTTGTGCGCATCTGGATTCGACCCACTGAGTCAAGACTTGTGGTGATCTGGGCAGAGAAGAGAAGGAAAACACTATTCAGTACTGCCCCCTCAGCAGAAGAGATATACAAGAATCTGGAATGCTAAAGTCACTTTCATGAACAACACTTGTGACTTAGGGAGGAGCTGTGTTGATTAAATACAGTGTCAACAAAATGCAAGAACGAGAGGTAAAAGCTCTTATGAGGTAATGGGCAGCTTCCTTCTCTGCTATTGTAGAAACCACATGAAGATTTCACTACCAAGCTCTTTAGGCCTTATGAAAAATATGTTTACAATCCTGATAACCATTATCAAAAGAGAACTGGATTTTTCTTGGTTCTAGAATTAAGGCAACAGGGCAAACTCACAAAGGAAACTGCTAGATTCCTACTTTGTGTTTACTCAGCACCTTCCAATGGGTTTACCCTCTAAAATATAAACCCCTCCCCATCAACCCTAATGATATGATTAAGGAACATTCAACCTTTCTGTTCTCAAATAAACGTTTTGCAGGCTTGACCCTTGCACGTGGAATCCTAGCATATTATATTGTACATGATTTCTGGTAGGTGTTTTAGGGACATCATGCAGAAATGCCCTATAATAATTTTGCAACTTGGATAAGAAGCTCAATATGGAAACATATTTTAACATCTTAAGGCCCCTCCACTTATATAAACAGAGCTTCCCTGAATTCATTGATATTAAATAAGTGATTACCTTATTAAACAACATTAACAGTTTTCTATACAAAAGACCTATCCAGAATGAAGCCAATACGTTTCATACTGATGTTCCCACTGAAATGCATACATTTGGGGTGTCTTAAGAACTGTAAACTTTAAATAAGAATTTTTACCGCACTGTACTTGTGTCATAAGCTGTATGTAAATAATTACCATGCATTCCCACACTTGAAACATAATCAGCCATCTCAGAGATTTACAGTATTCGTTTTAAGTTTTTCATATTGTTATTTTAGATTTTGTTTTATTGTATCACAATCATAATATTCAGATTATAGTGTAAGAAGATGGGAAACAGATTATAAATAAACAAGTAAATAATAAATAAATATACCTGAGCAAGAGTTGTGTCACTACATGCTTTTCTGGCATCCTTTAAAATAAAACAAAAATAAGATTAGTCTCTAAAAAGAGCAAATAAAATGAATATTGCAAACTGTTGGTTGCCACAAACCTATTAGACAGCATACTCTAAATCTGTTATTCCCAACCATAGTAGACTCACTGAATCAATGAAAACTCAATAGGTCAAAACTTACCTAACCATAATTATACCCTATCATTAGGACTAACAACTGGATTCAGCAATATATTCTTTATGAAATTAGTGCATATATAGAGGGGGGGGGGGGAGACCGACCAAAGAAGAACTTACTCTAGAAGGCTACACAGACATGGCTCTCCTCCTTTAGTAAGGACACAGGGTAGAGAAAAATCACTATTTTAAAAAAAAAATCTCAAAAGCCTTTACCATGCATCTCACAGAACTTACAAAAAAAACATAGTATAAAACTGCACTCGCAGAGGGGATGTGCCGTTCCTACCTGGTTGCAGCTCTGTGGGGGGACAGAATGCACTGGCAAATGCCAAGTGAGAGGTAGTCCATGCACAAATTTCTGACTTTGTATGAATGAACTTAGTGAGGAGGTATTAAGAAGAACACAACTTGGGAACCTTGGGACCTGGAGTTTTAGAGCAACTCTAACATGAAGCAATTTTATTCATAAATTGAAAGTTTTAATTGTAAATAGTAAGAGATAAAGGTGTTCTGGGAATGTGCTTTCCTGGCCTGTTGGATAGTTACATAGAGCAATGATTACTTGTGGAGGGAAAACAAAAAAAAATCCTTCCCACCATAGAAAGTAGGAGGAGTTGCTATCACTATCATCCTTTTTGCATATTTCATCTTTACAAAGCATTTCCAAGTATGCCAATGTCTACCTGCAGGTTAAAGATTTTCGTGACAACAAATACCACTGACAGCCTGTGGTATTTAGTCCCAAAAATGAAACCACAAGCCTCTTTGTCATTGAATCTTCCCAGTGTATCAATGGGACATTTGCCTTCACTATAGTTACCAAAGATAAAGCTGCCCAAAAATTGAATAGACAACTTATTTTCTAAATCTGTGACAAAAGCGAAGAGGCTGACACTACCACATGGTTATTTCATTGGCCTTCACTTCACTCTTCATCATTGTTCCCAAAAGAACTGAAGAGGGCAGAAAAGCTAGAAGCCGCTGTCTTTTATTTTTTTTTTAAATCCCACAAAAAGCAAAGACAGCTGCAGTTGCTTTATCAGTTTAGAGGAGATAGAAAAGACACAACAAATGCCTTTGCTCTTTACCTGGAATTGACTGTATACGGGAAGTGGAGGACAGAGTGGGGGTCTTGTGTATATGTGGAAAGGGCAGAACAGTTTCAGTCTTGTATCTAGGAAAGGTGTATGCACTCTGACTCACACAAATATATAGCAAGTAGTTTAGCATGCAAATGGGGGTTCACAAGTATGACAAACTAACATGGTGAAATATGCAAAAGGGGGAAAATCAGAAAGAGGGAAAGGTTCTTAATATTTGGATCAGCAGTAGGAATATGTTAAGGTGACAACTTACTCTGATTTGATTCCGGAGTTGTTCCGCCTCCTGCCGTAATTGTTCCAGTTCACTCATCCTCTTGAACAAGTCTCTTCCCCACAATCACAGTACTTTTAAAAAGAAGTATCCTAAACCAAGAAAAAATACAGAAATTTATCATTGTAAGACCACGTATTTCAAGGAATCACAGAAACCAAAGTAAGGCTTATAAAATACACTGAAATTTGCATTTCCCAATGCATTCAATGCATCAGGGACAGTTGGCACCATCCCAATGGGAGTTAAGATATTAATATAGGACATGCATGCTGAATCAGAACGTGCATTCATTTAGTTTAGCATCCTGTAACAAATGTAGCCAACATGTTGCTTCTAAGAAGACCATAAGCAACACAAAGCGATAGTTCTTCTCTGCTGCTTCAGTCCTCAGCAGCATGTGAACACAGATGCTCACATGCTTCCTTCCATGTGATCTTAAAATTCATGCAGGCTCATTTACAGAGATAATGTTTTGGCTTTTATAGGTCATAGCCACACTGTGAATTTCTTTTTACAGCGACACAAACCAGTGGAAGTGAGTTCCACAGCTAATTGGAACTGTAAACCGCCCCAAGTCGCCTGTGGCTGAGAGGGGCGGTATATAAATGTAGTAAATAAATAAATATGCACTGGGAAGTACTAAAATTCATCTGTTCTGAACTATTGTATGATCCTGTTCTGCTGTTTTCAGAAAAGGATGAGTTTTCTCTACTTTTTTTTCTTTCCCTGCCATGTGAAAAGTAATGAATTCTGCCGTGCCTTCCCTTTCTCCTTGCTGTATTTTCAGACTTGAATTTCTTTTCAACTTCAGGTCATAAAAAATATTGGACACGTGTCCATTTTTATTTTGTCTTATCCACTCAAGTTGTTTTAAAATACATTTTTTATCTTAAAGATAATTATGCTATCTTGAATAGGAACGTATTGCAGGAGAACAATTATGGAAATAAGGTTTGCATGCCGTTTGGAAACTCACACCAAAATTAAAGCCACACAACGAATACATCCTTACTCTGATTAAGTATTCTCTTTTCATCCCATGGCATACAGGCTGAAAACAACCAAGTGAAACTAGGCACAGATGTTTCGTTTTGAAGATTGTTTACTACTAAAAGTGGCTGCTGCCTAGACTACAAGTGCTGTGGTTTATTATCAACATTCCTTCAGAGTTGGAAAACAACAAAGAAATATTTTGGTTTGCAAAGTCTCTTTTTAAAAAAAAAAAAATAAACAAAGGAAACAGGCCTAGGTGGGTCCTTGAACTTTAAAGCTGAAGATACTGTGCACAATTTCAAAAGGTTTTTGTAGCAATGTGCCTCTACTACAGATCCACTACAAAACACAGGAAGCACAGGGTGTGTACCGAAAGCAGGCTCCAAATCTATCTCAGTTTAAGTGGGCTGTCTGCTGAATTGGTTAATCAGGGCATAACCCAAATGTCGAGACTGTAGATTTGTGTTACAATCTCTCCCCCCCCCCCCCCCCCCCAATCTTGTCATTTTCCTTAAGTGGAGCATTTGGAATACATCCATTTTAATCCTGTTCCTCCAAATCTTTCCCTTCACTACCAAAGCTTTTGAAACAACAGAGATTCATTTGGAAACTATTCATATATTATAAATTTATTAATGCTCCGACCAATTGTCATACGTATCTACACCAAAAGAAACAACATCTAATAAGCATGTTATACAAAGCACAGTAAAATCCATCAGTTAAAAGCAGGATGCAAGCAGGATAAAACAGAGCGTGCAAAACATACATCGTGGAGACTATTCACTTCAAACAAACCGAATCTTTCTGAAATGGTCCGATTTGGTTCACAGTTCATCTGAAGAAAGGCACACGGCTCTAGCTATTCCTAGCTAACCATCTTTCGGAGTAAACTACATTTTCAATTACTCCAGCTTGAATGAAACTGAATAGGTTTTAATAGATACAATTGAAGCTAGTGAAGGAAAACCCAAATGAATTGTCTGCACAAGAAAGCAGCCCATTTGTATCCTATTTGCTATTAGGCGAAAGGGAGGTAATATCCCCAGGTTTTGAAGAAAGATTAGGAAACAGATGAGAATCTAAGAAAGTTTGGTTTTTTTCTAATTTAAATTATCAATAATGAATTTAATATAAGAATTTAAAGTATGAAAGGTTGTCTTGAAAAACAAGATTCTTCAAGTGAACTGCCTGCTAAGAGACTGCCAGCAACCCTCAGGACCCAGGACTCATCAATGACTTTGTTTACCCAATTGATTGACTTTCTGGTTTCCCAAGCCTCAATCTTTGTGTAGAGATTATTCCAAGCTTCCAAAGTCCATTAGTGCTAAATATCCATTCTTTCCAGTCTGGACAATGCAGCCCGCACCTTCAGAGGTGGAAAGGTAAAGGTTTTCTCCTGACATTAAGTCCAGTCGTGTCCGACTCTGGGGTGTGGTGCTCATCTCCATTTCTAAGCCAAAGAGCTGGCGTTGTCCATAGACACCTCCTAGGTCATGTGGCTGTCATAACTGCATGGAGCGCTGTTACCTTCCTGCCAGAGTGGTACTTATTGATCTACTCACATTTGCATGTTTTTGAACTGCTAGGTTGGTAGAAGCTGGAGCTGACAGTGGAAGCTCACATCACTCCCCGGATTTGAACCTGCAACCTTTCGGTCAACAAGCTCAGCGCTTTAACCCACTGTGCCACCGGGGACAGTGGCAGAGGTGGACACAGCAATAAACCTTTAATTTTAAACCCCACCACTCCCAGCTGTTCTCTCTTCCTCTCCGCCCGTCTGTGGTGTCTGGAAGACCCAGCCAATGAGGTGGTGGATCCTAGGAAGCATGTCTCCTGACCAATCAGGCGAGAGAGTCTTCTGAATGTCTGTCAAAGGGGATAAAATGTTTTGCCCTGTATTACAGGTCTTTTGGCAATTACGCCGTTCTCTCATCCATCTGGCCAGGTGCATAAACCTCTGTTATTGCCTTCAAACCCATTAATGTTTTTCCTGGCTTCCAAAGTAGTATGGCATGCCGAGTAATGGGCCTACACTGTCATCTGGTGGCAGATAGTTGATTTTGGTAACACAATAACAAATTTCAGAATAAATCTTACCCGAAAGCTCCACACAGTAGGGTTACCACAAAGCAGTCACCCTAAAGCCACAGAACAAAGTCCAAAGTCAACATTCTACTTTGAGTTACACATAATCGATCTTCGTATTAGTTTCACAGGTTTGGAAAATGCAAAATACAACCAACTTTATCCATCACAGTAGCGGTTCTAATCTGAAACAGTCAGTTAAATTTAGTGACAGGAGTTGAGAATGTTACTTAGATTCCTTTAATGTCAATTGCTCCCTCTCAAATCATCCAGCATAACAAATTTTCAATTTTATTTCTATATTAAAGCTAACACAGCAATATGGAAGTTCTAATTAGCCTCTTCCCTGTCTTTCTGTCCACTGGTAGGCACATTTTTATTTAGGGAGAAAATTACTTTTAATATGTTACAGCACTTGGTGCTTTTAATGGGGTAACATTGTGTTCTATTTTATTATCTTAAATGTGCTTTTAGAATTGTTTTATCTTTTACCTTTACTTTAAAAAAAATAGGTTTGGTTTAATTGCTTTTAGCCTTTTGGATTAATAGATTTAAAAACTAAACTGTGCTTTAGAACTATTTCTAGAGCAGCTCGTTAAACCAACAATCTGTAAACAATTATAAAGCAATGCTGTGATAACAAAAATCAAAAGTGGGTTTCTCAAAAATGGGTCAAGACAGATTAATATTTTATATATAGATATAGAGCTACAATCTTTGTAGATTAAAGGAATGCTGTGGATGTAATATACCTAGATTTCAGTAAGGCCGTTCACAAGGTCACCTATATATAGTGTCTTGATCCAGGAAAGTAATACAGATTAGGTATCTGTTGTAGTAGAGCCTGTGAGTAATGTTGGAAGCAGTAGTATGGGTGCCAGAAGGGGGAAAAGGGTTACTTGAGAGCAGGAAACAGATGAGGAACAGCAGAGAAAAAGGATCCAGGATTTACTTATGGCACCTACAGATGAGGACTCATTTGAGGGGTTCTCTGGGAATGAAGAGTCAATGAGTGAAGGAGAAGGAGGAGACACAATGGATTGGACTAGGGGAAGAAAGAGGGTTACTCAGGAGTAGGAATCGAATGAGGAACGGCAAAGAAAGAGGATCCAGGATATACTTATGGCACCTACAGATGAGGATTCATTTGAGGGATTCTCTGGGGATGATGGGTCACAGAGTGGGGAAGACAGGGATGACACTGCGGATTGGACTAAGGTAAAGGAAGTGCAAGCTATTTGTGCAGAGCCAACATCTAGTGATACATTTATGGGATTCTCTGGGAGTGAAGACTGGCAATCGGGGAATCCAACTGAATCTTGGGAGGATCTAAGTCTTGACAGGAGATGGAGAAGATGGAGGGATGGGCATAGGACTTCACGTGAAGAGTTGGGAGCAGCTGCCAGGGATAATCATGGGGCGGTGATCAGTTCATCTTCCAATGACCATGTGTAGATAAAAGTGGGTTCAGAAATGAGGCATCTTTGCAGAAGTCAAGGTGTTGGGTGAATGTTCGTGCACTGGGTACTGTCTGGACTTGTCGCTGCCTGTTTCGTGTTCGGCATTGGTTTGGGATCTGCAGGTTTCTGTTCCTGATCGTGTGTGCTTTCGACTCGGATTGGATTCTCATGAGTGTGGATTTCTCCCTTCCTGGACCTTGGACCGCCTTGACTACGACACTGCTTCTCTGGACTTTGGAGTTTCACTGTTTCAGATTTCTCTTGCTACGACCCTGGACTTCCCCTGACTACGCTTCTCTCCCTGCGGCTTCACTGCTTTTGTTTACCAGTTGCATGCTGTGCCCTCTTTGTGTGACCTTGGAGTACTGTGTTTAATTCGGTTCTTTTATCCGGTTAATCCGGATTATATTTCTGTTTACCTTTTGAACCAGGTTTGGTTTTACATTTGAGCTTAAGTGTCTCTGTGTCCTTTTCCTTTGCTTCAATAAACTCTGTTTTGGAACTAACTCTGACTCTGGCCCTTTAAGGCGTCTGTGATTCCGACAGTA